CTCCATATGATTTCAAACCTGTTGCGAGGCATGACCTTGTTGAAGTAGGGGGTAGCTAACATGTCATCTGTACACCAATACATATCAAGTTCAGGCTTATGAATGATACCAGTGAGAAAAAGGAGCCCCATGAAAGTTTTCATTTCTGAAACTGTGACAGGCTTCCATGCATGATATCTAGCATGTTGTGAAGTGTCATCCATAGCCTGAATACACTGATCTGCATACAGGTTGGTCTGATCAACAATGTTCTGAATCAGTACATTAGAAATGAACAACTCCGTAAAGTCTACAGGTTGTTCTGACTCAAGAGCAGCAGCATCACCGATAGGCCCAGGATTCTCAGTGAAGGGAATGTTTTTTGGCTGCCAGTTAATTTCATGCCACTCAGGATCATCAGGTTCATCATCTTCAGCTGGATCAGGATGGTTCACAGTGGCCCTTGTTTGGTCACCAGCAGCACCGTGTTGATGTACTTGACGCATCCGGCCTCTGCCTCGCTGTGTTCTACCTGTAAATAATTATATGAGTAATTGGAATTACTTTCAATAAACAGACCTAGATACACACACATATATAAATACATATTACAATGTGGTAAATGTGCACAAAGAGAGATACAATTTGGCCATTATACGCTCATATTTACAGACACAGCCACACATAAATGCATGCACACTTACACACAAATATTATAGTGTTTATATATATATATATATATATATATTTATCCCATAAAGATATAACACTTTCTCAGATATTTTGTTTTCTTACCTCTATGTATATTTATATTTTAGTTTTTCTTCATTAAAAATAAATAAATAAAAGAATACCTGGGTCTCTGAGGGTTATAATATGAGACTTGATGTTTACAGTAACAAAGTACAACAAACTAATCTGATTTTGTCCTTACAGGGAAAACGATGGAAAAAACTGGAGGCGAAATCCATTCGAGAGGCGATGAAAGAGGAGGAGAAGAAACGTATCTACTTGGAAGAAGCAAGATAACAGGCCCAGAAAAGAAAGGAGGCTATTGAAAAAACTAAAACCCAGCAGTACCACCAGACTGACAGAGTCAAAGGCCTCCATGTGTGTGTCTTACGTTATTAGACCACAAGTCAAGTCAAGTCACCTTTATTTATATAGCGCTTTTTACAATACAGATTGTATCAAAGCAGCTTCACAGTGATAACATGAAAATAATAATAAAAAATTGGATCATCGTCCACCTTAAGGCAGATCTATGATATTGTTGAATATTAAATGCAACTGTTTTTCTGTGGTGAAATGTTAGTAGAAACGATCCTCTTGTTGTTCTAGAGCGCTCTGAGGCTGGCGGAGGTCCTGAAGGAAAGAGAGGCTCAGATCGAGCTCAAGCGCATGAGGCAGAACGCCAGCAGAGCCGTGGACAGAGAGATCTTGGCCCGAATGGCTTGCAGAGAAGAGCAGGCGGTCCAGCAGGAGCGACAGAAAGCACTGCAGAGAAAACGAGACCAACTGGCCATTTCTGAGTGCTTGAAACTACAGTAAGGAGAAATTAAAGTGCATTTATGCTTCAGTGCATACACAGCTAACACAAATATGCTCTAATGACTTTTTGATAACGTTCCAATTAAGATATAAATGTTATTTCTGAATGTTCCCTAAACGTTCAAAGTGTCAACAACATTTAAAATGTTTTTTTTATTTTTTTTTATTCAAACACTTGAATGTTACTTTTGAACAGTGTTGGGGAAAGTTACTTTTAAAAGTAATACATTACAATATTGTGTTACGTTAAAATTAACTAATTGTATTACTTAGTTTAATGGAAAGTAGTGTTATGTTAACCCTCTGGGGATCAGAGTGTTTTTGGGGCCCTTGGGATGTTTTGACATGCACTGACATTTGTGCTTTTTTCAGTTATTTATAAACATGTTAATGGCAAAGGTTTAAATTCACTCTATATAGCACAGACGGGACTACCATGATAAGTGAGCAACATGTATGTACATGTTTGTATTTTTAAGAGAATAATGTTTATGCGTGGTTATTAAAAAAAATAAAAATGAAAGTTGCTGAAATAAGACCACAAAACACATATTGATTATTTCTTCACAAGACTTTTGAAAATTGTATCACATAGTCTAGAATATTTGCTCCAAAACTATGTGAGAATCATCCTGACTACTCATTCAGATAAGTCAATAAAGTATTTTACATTTTTAATTACGTGTTTTGTTTGAGAAAGCTTTACGCGAGGAGGCATGATCTCTCATTAATATGTATGGCATTTCACACCTGAGAAAGACAAAGACCCTCCCATAATATGGCCCTATTAGGTGCTATCAGGCCATATCATTACAGGAGCCTTGCACAAAGAATGAGGAGATTTAAAAAAGAATGGCTTTTAGATTGTTTGGATTTATATAAGGAAAATACAGGATGCATACGTCTGGACACTTCTATCACACACCCTTCACCATATAGACATGTTTTTTTTCTAGTTCAAAGTTAGAGTTGGAAACATCTTGAAAAGAAAATTGTCTTTTTCCATAAATGTCTTAGTTTGATCATACATATTTCAAAGTTGAGGATTCATTATTTTGATATAGCTTGAACAAACACTATAACATCTTAGTTGATTAGTTTATTGACAAAACATACTATATATTTAACATATGAGCAGAAACTCCAAACAAAAGCTTATTTGATGTCTATTTTAGAGTCTGTAACAGTACGTATCTGTGCGTTCATTCATTCATTCATTCATTCATTCATTCATTCATTCATTCATTCATTCATTCATTCTCTCTCTCTCTCACACACACACACACACACACACACACACACACACACACACACACACACACACACACACACACACACACAACATGATTTACATTTAAACAGTATGCTATTTTTCCGTTTACAGACACTAACGTTATTCTATATCGCGATTAGAACAAAGCACTTGCATAAAACACTTACTTCTCAGCTGAATCTGTTGCTCCTCGAAGTGAAAATAAACCAGCACTTGTTCTGTGGTAAATTGTCCCAGGATTGTCCCTCATATAGCCGCGCAAGACGACAGTAGATTAATCTGACTAAAAAATAACGTGTGTTTTCAGAGTTTATGGGCGTTAACGCGTCTCAATGTGTTGCTTCACATATTTGCGTTTGAATAGCGCGTGCTCTCCGTGGGCGTGTCACATTACCAGAGATAATCAGCTGAGAGAACGGTAATGAGACGGGCTGACACGTCTCTCTTTTTATATAGATGACCAGAGGTGGAAAGAGTAATAAAATATTCTACTCAAGTAAAAGTACTACTACTTCAATGAAATTTTACTTAAGTACAAGTAAAAGTACCGGTCTAAAAATCTACTCAAGTAAAAGTAAAAAGTTGCTCATTTAAAATTTACTCAGAGTAAAAGTTACTGAGTTACTTTTTTAACAGCGGGTGGGGGAATCCCCCGTGTAGGGTTGTATTAATGGTATGAGATTTTCACAGTATGATAACGTCTCAGAAAATATCACTGTTTACAGTATTAATCAATTATTAAATATGCTATATGTATTTTTTAGCGGCCTCTATCGGTGATGTTTCAGATTGCAACCAATTTTTACAAGAGCGCTCGTGCTCTTGCGCGTGCTCGAACACAAGAGCGATCACTCATGGTACCGGCCACACTGATACTTTCAACACACCGGAGAAAGCGTCACACAACATGCTGGAAACTCATGTAAACTCCCACTGCAACGTTACAATAATAGGCTACTTTTATCAGCTTGACGTTGAACTAATGCTCCATGCTCGTACCATGATAACGTTACATTTGTGGTGTTATCTAGCATAAGGCATTTCACTAACTATTCGTGTATCTTTCACAATCAGCAATGTCAACATAGGTGAATGTATAATACCGTATGATAACGAAAACGGTTAGTGAACTAGACTGAACAATTTCAGTGTAACAGTAAGATCGTAGGAAGTAACATTACTGTACTGAACGTGTCTGGAAATGTGTATTATAAACAATATGATAGTAGTGGGATGAGTGACGTTAGACAGTAGATCTAGTACATAAAATAAAAGTTACATCCTAAAGCACCTACTTTTTGTTATCCTGGAACAGTCTTTTGTATTCATTTCATGTCTCATGTATGTTGTAGTTTACCTTGCTATTTCATTATAGTTTAACATTATTTCAGCATATCTGAAAACTTGTAATTTATCACAATAAAAATAGCGGAGGTCTCTCCATAATTCAAACACTCTGCCGATGTTGATCCGTGTTTTTGTCCTAAGTCGATCCGATTCACGTTTGGCCTGACGAGCTTCAGCAGATACATTTTTGTTTTGTTTTGTTTTTTATATTTTTGTGGAGTTTGTGTTGGAGTGTGTGTTGTGCTGGAGGCAGGTCGTTTGTTGGTGTTATCAGACTCCATGTGGTCAGCTGCAGTGCCGTCGCATAGACTGTATATAAACAGCAGAGAGGCTCGGGAGCGCGCATGCACGTCACATCCGATGGATTTCGCAGTAAATCCGACCCGGAGACTTCACATAGAAATAAGAATACTGGCCTTCAGAGGTAATAGCTAAACCCGACAAGTGGATCATTGTAATGTGTGATTACAACCCCTTCACACACAGGCAATAAAAAAAGGATTCATTTTAGAAGAAAAGTTACATATACAGGGTTCCCGCGGGTCCTTAAAAAGTCTTAAAATGTCTTAAATTAAAATCCGGGAAATTAAGGTCTTAAATTGTCTTAAATTTACCGTAAAGTTGCTGTAGGTATTAAATTTTCAGCCTGTCTGCTTAATGACGATAGGGAAGCACAGTGGTCCACCGTAAAACATCTATCTATCATTTTTATCAATTTAGTACGTGTGAAATGAGTGTCCGCGATTGAATAGCTTATTGAGGTAACGTTAGGTCAGCTACAGACGCTGAAGTCGGTCTGCGCCTGCGTGCCGCCATTACGCGGTTGTCGTGTTTACTCGCAGGTGAGGTGAGGTTCAAAATGCAAAGATGGGGAAGTGTAAATTTAACGACAAGTGGATGGAAGAGGATGCATTTAGGAGGTGGTTGGCGCCGGCTGAAAATAATAATGAGGCAATGTGTAAATTCTGCAAAAAGACCTTTTCATTAGGGACCATGGGGCTCAAAGCCGTCGAGTCGCACATGAAGGGAGGAAAGCACCAGAGATACGTTGCAGCAGCTAGTCATAGCGGGTCCAGGTTAATCCCTGCATTGTTTGCAGCTCGACCTAACGATGTTACTAGTTCAGACGCCACCTCACAGTCGGCTATAACAAGTTTCATTTCACCGCCAGACACCCAAAAGGCAGAGTTACTGTGGGTTCTCCATACTGTGACGAGGCACAATTCATTTAAATCTAACGAGGACATACGTGACATCTTTGCTGCCATGTTCCCCGATTCGCAGCTTGCAAAGTCATTCACCTGTGGTGAAAATAAAACGGCATACGTCGCCAAATATGGCATCGCTTCATTTATCAAGAAGGAGCTATCGTGCAGCGTTAGTGAGAAGCCATATGTCGTCATGTTTGACGAAAGTTTGAATAAAACGACAAAGAACAAACAAATGGACCTTCATTTGCGATTCTGGACTACTGATGATGAGACCGGCACTCACTACGTCATCTCCCGCTACTATGGATCGGTATTCATGGGCCACTCCAGAGCCGAGGACATGTTGGGTCATTTCAATGTAAGTAACGTTACGATTGTGTTTGAAATCGCATATTATTATTCATACTAAGTGTGGTGTAAAATTTAGTACTGTTAGTGCGGTTTAAAGTTCATATGCTAGGGGTGTAAACACCAACACTCCCCCGGTGTTCACTCCGGGCATAGGACTGGTTATGTGCTCCAGTCAGGTCACAATTCTATGGTCACTTTGACAATCTAAAGTAACAACACATTTGCTCAGAGTTTAAGAGGTATAACTGTTGGTAGATGTGGTTTTTAGTTTAAATATGCCGAATTGTGATTTTATGGGCTGTTGGGCAAATGTAGCTGCTAATGTAGGCTGTCACTTAATGCCATAGCAACAGCAAACATTCACTTAAGGGTTAATGAGCTGTAAATAGAGATGCAGAAACAAGCTATGTTTGTAAATACACATTAGATATGTTGTATTTTACCACAAAATACATGATTTTTACCAGTTAGTAAACCTATAGAAATAAATTATTTTAATTAGCAAAATTTACCATTACATTTATAGGCCACGCACATAGAAAGACCACTGTGACCATATACTGACTTGAAAAGTGCACATTAACCAGTACTACTGTTACAATCTGCATAAAGTTTTTTTTAATGTAAAAGCTCACATTTTTAATGTACGAAGGCATCCTGTATCATAACTAATGTCTGTCGTTTGTAAAACAAATCTGAATTGAACTCACTGAACATATACCCATATACCAATTATATAATGATTAACGTTAATTATCGCCTGTGTTTGTGTATGTTTGCATTTTATTTTTCAGGAGTATGTATTTGTGTGTGTTTGTGTCGGGGTTTTGATGGATGTTTTTGATCTCTCTCTCTCTCTCTCTCTCTCTCTCTCTCTCTCTCTCTCTCTCTCTCTCTCTCTCTCTGGATGGATGTTTTTGATCTCTCTCTCTCTCTCTCTCTCTCTCTCTCTCTCTCTCTGCTATATAAGCCCAACCATTATTATTATATTATAATGTGGATTACTTGGCACATTGAATTGATCTTTTTCCTTTTTTTTTATACAAATGTGCAGGAAGGTACAAAGGAGCTGAATCTGAACAACATGCTCTCACTATCAATGGATGGGCCCGCTGTAAACTGGAAGTTTGTTGAACTCTTACAAGAGGAACACAGAGAGCAGTGTGGTGGAGCCCAACTACAAATAATTGGGAGTTGTGGCCTTCACACGATGCACAACTCGTTCAAGAACGGCTTTGCAGTGTGGCAAGTTGAGAAAGTCCTGAAAGCCCTGCACTACCTGTTTCATTGTGCACCTGCAAGGAGAGAGGACTTTGTGTTAGTGACAAAGTGTGATACATTTCCTCTGCCATTTTGCGGACATCGATGGCTGGAAAACCTTCCAGCAGTGGAGCGAGCCATTGAAATTTGGCCATATATTGTCACCTATGTGGATCAGGTCAAAGCCAAAAAGCTGCCCAATCCAAGGTCATCGTCATATGACACCATCGCAGAAGCCCGGATGGATCACTTCATCTTGGCAAAGTTACACTTCTTCATGAGTGTCTCAAGAAGTTTTCAGCCATTTCTCACCAAGTATCAGACAGATGCCCCGATGATTCCCTTCCTCGGCAGAGATTTGGAGGATCTAATCAGGGTAGGCCTAATGACTACTAAAAGTATATTAATGGTTTAATCATTCAAGCACCGTCATTTACAGAGGATATGAACAATAAAACAAAGTACTGAGTTTTCAGCATGATGATGTTTGTAGAAAGTATTGTAAATACTGTAATACTTTTTCTAATTTTGTTTATAATTATTATGCTTGTGCTATTCTATTTTCAGAGCCTTCTCAGACGCTTCATAAAGCGAGACGTCCAGGTTGATGTTTCCCCAGCAAAGCTGGTCAAGCTTGATGTGACAGACCAAAAGCTTTGGGTCAGTCCAAAGCAAGTGGACATTGGCATGGGAGCCACAGCTGCCCTCAAGGTAATATTTATCTTAAAATACTTTATCATTGTGCTATATGAGCTGCAAAGTCACTTGACTAGTGAAGTATTTATGTTGAGAAATAAAGAGATCAGTTTAATTGTTTTGACATCAAGCAGTTGACCTTTTAATTGGATCTGTCAAATGTTGTATAGTGTAAGTTACACATAGGGAGAGTTTATTTGATGTTTCAGGTGATGTGACTTTTGTGCTTTTGTCAGGGAATGTCAGGCAGTCAGAGTGGTGGAAGTGAGCGTGAGGTGCTACTGTTCATGCGAGACAGCCAGAGTGCCCTGTCAAAAATTTGTCAGAACATTTTATTGAAGTGCCCCCTGAAGTACCCCTCTGTCCGAAATATGATGTGCCTGGACCCCCAAAATATGCACAAAGAACCTGACATGTGCCAGCAAAAAATTAAGGCCCTCATCATGAAATTTGTGCAGGATAAGAAGCTGTCAGGAGGAGTCACAGCGGGTAACATCTTTAGACATATCAGAAATGTGAACAATTAGCCTAGTGTTTATCAAAGGGAGTCTTATTTTAGGTATCATACTAGCCTATTATTTTGCAGTTCTTTTTTGTTTTATTTTATTGGAAATACAGCCTAGTATGAGTTATAATAAATGTATGTAGGCCTAATATATGTTCTTAGACATAATAATTGAAATATAGTTAAAAATATGAGATGCATTTTCCAGAGTATAGTGAAAATAAATCTCTTGTGACAACAAAGTATAATTTTAACTAGAAAATATTACAGATGTGCTTGTCTTTATCTAAATGCAGGTGATAAGATTGCCCAACAATTTCAGAAGTTCCTCTTCAGTGAGGCCAGAGGAGAGGAATTCATGGCCTTCAGTGCATTGGATGGAAAATTGCGAGTTGACAGCTTCCTGCATAAGGCCATGAATGGATATGCAGAACTTTGGAGCTTTGTGGAAAAGCTGCTGCTTCTGTCCCATGGACAAGCTACTGTGGAGCGTGGGTTCTCCATAAATAAGGAGGTGGAGATGTGCAATATGAACGAAGACACTATAGTCTCACAGAGATTAATCTGCGACTATGTGAGGATGTGTGGTGGAGTGGTCAAAGTGCCTCTAACTAAAGAGCTGCTAAATGAGTGTGCATCTGCACGCAACCGGTACAGGATCTTCTTGGAAGATGAGAGGAAGAAAAAGGAAAAGACAAAACAGATGATCAAGAGAAAAGGGTTTGAAGATGAGCTTGAAGAGCTACGCAAGAAAAGAAGAACAATCTCAACTGTGTGTGAAACTCTAGAAAAGGATGCAGATGGCCTTGCAGAGAAGGCTGAGAATACAGCAGGGACCAAGATGGCAGAACTTATCACTAAATCCAATTCCATGAGAAAAAGATGCAAGGAAAAGAGAAGGGAGTTGGTGGACCTAGACCATGAAATTGAGAAGAGAGCAGCAGAGCTGCGCCACATGTCTTGAGGAGAATTTGGGATGTTACGAAACAAAGGGTTTCTCTCAGTAAAAGTCATGTAATAACATTTGTGTTTTCTAACAGTTATGTAGATTATTTGTCAACTTTTTGGCTTGTGAAAGGCTGTGTTGAGGACATTATTGAGCTTATTTTCAGTATTCTAAATGGTTCCTTCATACAAGGCATTGTGTTGTTTAGTGTAATCTAACTTATCTGTTACGTTGGCTCTGTTCTACATCACAAAGGAACAAAAAATAAAAAAGGTTTCAAAGAAAAGTATTTTTACTTTTTTTACTTACCGAGTTTACACATTTCACATAATTGATACCAAATGGAAAGCTTTTAAGTTTTGATTTCCATTGTAGGAGGCAATAAATTGAGTAGCCTATTCCAAAGAAATCTTGACATTTTTGGGTCTTAAATTATTTTTGTTGAGGTCTTAAAAAGGTCTTAAAAAGCATTAAATTTTACTTTTAAAATGGTGCAAGAACCCTGTTTTACTTGTACTTAAGTAAAATTTCATTGAAGTAGTAGTACTTTTACTTGAGTAGAATATTTTATTACTCTTTCCACCTCTGGTCATCTATATAAAAAGAGAGACGTGTCAGCCCGTCTCATTACCGTTCTCTCAGCTGATTATCTCTGGTAATGTGACACGCCCACGGAGAGCACGCGCTATTCAAACGCAAATATGTGAAGCAACACATTGAGACGCGTTAACGCCCATAAACTCTGAAAACACACATTATTTTTTAGTCAGATTAATCTACTGTCGTCTTGCGCGGCTATATGAGGAACAATCCTGGGACAATTTACCACAGAACAAGTGCTGGTTTATTTTCACTTCGAGGAGCAACAGATTCAGCTGAGAAGTAAGTGTTTTATGCAAGTGCTTTGTTCTAATCGCGATATAGAATAACGTTAGTGTCTGTAAACGGAAAAATAGCATACTGTTTAAATGTAAATCATGTTTGTGTGTATGTGTGTGTGTGTGTGTGTGTGTGTGAATGAATGAATGAATGAACGCACAGATACTTACTGTTACAGACTCTAAAATAGACATCAAATAAGCTTTTGTTAGGAGTTTCTGCTCATATGTTAAATATATAGTATGTTTTGTCAATAAACTAATCAACTAAGATGTTATAGTGTTTGTTCAAGCTATATCAAAATAATGAATCCTCAACTTTGAAATATGTATGATCAAACTAAGACATTTATGGGAAAAGACAATTTTCTTTTCAAGATGTTTCCAACTCTAACTTTGAACTGAAAAAAAAAAACATGTCTATATGGTGAAGGGTGTGTGATAGAAGTGTCCAGACGTATGCACCCTGTATTTTCCTTATATAAATCCAAACAATCTAAAAGCCATTCTTTTTTAAATCTCCTCATTCTTTGTGCAAGGCTCCTGTAATGATATGGCCTGATAGCACCTAATAGGGCCATATTATGGGAGGGTCTTTGTCTTTCTCAGGTGTGAAATGCCATACATATTAATGAGAGATCATGCCTCCTCGCATAAAGCTTTCTCAAACAAAACACGTAATTAAAAATGTAAAATACTTTATTGACTTATCTAAATGAGTAGTCAGGATGATTCTCACATAGTTTTGGAGCAAATATTCTAGACTGTGATACAATTTTCAAAAGTCTTGTGAAGAAATAATCAATATGTGTTTTGTGGTCTTATTTCAGCAACTTTCATTTTTATTTTTTTTAATAACCACGCATAAACATTATTCTCTTAAAAATACAAACATGTACATACATGTTGCTCACTTATCATGGTAGTCCCGTCTGTGCTATATAGAGTGAATTTAAACCTTTGCCATTAACATGTTTATAAATAACTGAAAAAAGCACAAATGTCAGTGCATGTCAAAACATCCCAAGGGCCCCAAAAACACTCTGATCCCCAGAGGGTTAACATAACACTACTTTCCATTAAACTAAGTAATACAATTAGTTAATTTTAACGTAACACAATATTGTAATGTATTACTTTTAAAAGTAACTTTCCCCAACACTGTTCAAAAGTAACATTCCCACATTGTTTGAATAAAAAATAAAATAAAAACATTTTAAATGTTGTTGACACTTTGAACGTTTAGGGAACATTCAGAAATAACATTTATATCTTAATTGGAACGTTATCAAAAAGTCATTAGAGCATATTTGTGTTAGCTGTGTATGCACTGAAGCATAAATGCACTTTAATTTCTCCTTACTGTAGTTTCAAGCACTCAGAAATGGCCAGTTGGTCTCGTTTTCTCTGCAGTGCTTTCTGTCGCTCCTGCTGGACCGCCTGCTCTTCTCTGCAAGCCATTCGGGCCAAGATCTCTCTGTCCACGGCTCTGCTGGCGTTCTGCCTCATGCGCTTGAGCTCGATCTGAGCCTCTCTTTCCTTCAGGACCTCCGCCAGCCTCAGAGCGCTCTAGAACAACAAGAGGATCGTTTCTACTAACATTTCACCACAGAAAAACAGTTGCATTTAATATTCAACAATATCATAGATCTGCCTTAAGGTGGACGATGATCCAATTTTTTATTATTATTTTCATGTTATCACTGTGAAGCTGCTTTGATACAATCTGTATTGTAAAAAGCGTAATATAAATAAAGGTGACTTGACTTGACTTGTGGTCTAATAACGTAAGACACACACATGGAGGCCTTTGACTCTGTCAGTCTGGTGGTACTGCTGGGTTTTAGTTTTTTCAATAGCCTCCTTTCTTTTCTGGGCCTGTTATCTTGCTTCTTCCAAGTAGATACGTTTCTTCTCCTCCTCTTTCATCGCCTCTCGAATGGATTTCGCCTCCAGTTTTTTCCATCGTTTTCCCTGTAAGGACAAAATCAGATTAGTTTGTTGTACTTTGTTACTGTAAACATCAAGTCTCATATTATAACCCTCAGAGACCCAGGTATTCTTTTATTTATTTATTTTTAATGAAGAAAAACTAAAATATCACATCAAGATGACATTCAAATTACAATTTAACATTACCAAATTGTAACAAACTTAGTATTATAATAGGGGCACAGACGGCGGGGCGGCAGTGGCTCAGTGGTTCATGTTGGTTGTCTACAAACCGGAAGGTTGGTGGTTCAATCCTCGGTTCCACCTGACCAAGTGTCGAGGTGTCCATGAGCAAGACACCTAACCCCAGCTGCTCCCGACGAGCTGGATGGCGCCTTGCATGGCTGCCGTCGTCCGTCGGTGTATGAATGAGTGAGTGAATGGGTGAATGTGAGGCAAATTGTAAAGCGCTTTGGTGGCCATTGGGTCTGTGAAAGCGCTATATAAATGCAGTCCATTTACAGACACAAAAAAAAAATTAGACAGCGAGAAGTCTAAATAAGGCTATATAAAAACAATAAAAGTGTCTGACAGGTTCTATATACAGACGTCTTTAATAATCATAGTAATAATGATTTATAATTTAAATAAATTATTCTTATTTCTTAATAAAGACTCATAAAAAGGCCTATTTTCTTCCTTAAAAGTGATTAGGTCATTAAAAAGTATGATGTTTACGCATATATAGTTTTAGGGTAAATTTGGGGGTTTTCAAGCAAGTATTATTGCTCAGTCAGTGAGACTAATGCTTTCTGTACACCTAAAGACTTTGAAAAGATTTAGAAAAGACTTTATAAGATTATCAGCTCACATCTAAAGATTTTGGGTTCAGTGTTTTTAGTCTCAGACTAAAGATTTTACATACACTGAATCTTGTAGTGACACTATTTACAAGACTACAACAAGATTATTTTAGCTTTTTTTTCCCACCAAATTCCTCCCATCATGCTCAGCAGTGATTTAACAAAAATGGAGGAGAAGCAGCTACAGTTAGCTATCATTAAATAATAATAATAATAATAAATTATCATTATTAAATTATATAAAGGCAACCACACAGTCATGTGAAAAAATAGGACACCATGAAAGCCTGTCTATTTTTCAACATACGGACATGTAATAACAATTTTAACAATACTGAAGGACCCAGTGATTTATATAAACTATTTAAAAATAAGAAAGCCCTTTTTAAGACTCTCTGTGAACTGTAATTTTAAAAGAATGCAATTTTTGAGGAGGAATAAATTAGGACACCCCCCATATATTTCCCCCACACTGCTTATGAGTGTGGAAAAGGATTTAAAAAGATATCAAAGGACTTTGACATCAGCCATTCCACCATTTTACCTCACTGAATTAATTTCAACAAAGGGGGGTATCACTAGTTATTAGGGGTCCTAATTTTTTCCTCCATTAAAATAGGCATTTTTATGCATATTTTTTGTTTGATGAGTAAAAATATGTTAATTTATATTGTTTAATTACAATAAATCACTTTCTTTTCCAGGAATGAAAAAAAAATCAAATTTGACATTATGTGAACATTTCTTAACTCTTTCCCCGCCAAACACGGAATTTTCCGGGTTTTATAAAAAAACGCTTCCCCGCCA